TAATCGTAAACTAGTAAGCAAGTGGGAAGTGAGACTCATGGATGGGAGACATATGTTGATTCAACTAATAGTGGTTGAAGACTACATCCGAATTTTCTCCAAAAAATATCTAAATATCGCAGGCAAATCAATAAAGTTACTCAAATGGTCTCCTGATATCGACTCAAATCATGAAACTCCTGATTTATCGGTATAGTTTAGTCTATCTGGTCTTAAGTTGCATTTTTTTCACCATCAGGTTCTCTACTCTATTGGGGCCATCCTCGGGGACCCTTTGAAGCTAGATCTGCTTACTTTCAACCTAACCAGACCATCTGTGGCCAGAATATTTATGGAAAAGGATATTACTTTATCTGTCGTTATTGAAGTCTGGTTGGACACAACTCATAATGGATATTGGCAACAAATCGTCATAGAGAATAGACCGTCTTATTGTTCTCATTGTAAGATGTTTGGGCATACACTTGATAAATGTCATAAATTTTATCCTGATTTGAAATCTAAAGATCAAGTAAATAAGGATGGATCTAATCCCACTATTCTGGACATATCTGTTTCATCTGGAGAAAAAGCTACCACAAGACAGGTTTTGGATATCGCTAAAGATCAGTCACCTACAATCCTTGTTGAGAAGGTGCAAAACCCAACATCGCAGTTTCTGATGAAGAACATCGTACTACAGGTACAGATTCAAAAGTGTTTAGATTACCTACAAAGGATAGTGTTCTGATTGATAATCATGAGAATCTCGTAGCTACCACCTCATCAGACAGATTCTTCGGATGAGGAATGATAGATTTACACTTCCAGGAGGAAGAAGAAGAATGGAGATCTACTTGAGCTCAAGAGTCTTATGGATGATACTTTGGTTACTTCGGGTAATGGTACAGACCTTACCAATCTGTTAGTTGGATCCCTTCCGAGAACTAGAGTCAGAGACAGAACTAGATTGGGATGACCCTCACTTTTTCAGCGCCCTGGTGGTTTTGGGCTTTTTTTTTATTTTTATATGTACCCTTTTTTAACTTTTTTATGCTTGTTGTACCGTGTTGGTTGGGTGCCACCCACACAACCTATCTGTATTTTTTCTCTTTAATATATTAGCCCTTGGGTGTGCGTGTGTGTGTGTGTGTATATATATATATATATATATATAAATAATGCAAGCTACATGATGTTTCCAATTTGTCAAAAAAATTTAGGTAGAATGTGCAGTATTTAGGCATTGCACATGAAAATGAAACACAAAAGAGATTTAACAAGGGATGGAAGGGTAAAATTGGATCAAAGAAAGTTTAAGCAATGCACAAGCAAATTCACCAACAAATAAAAGGAGGGCCATCCCAAGCAAGCAAGCTCAAGAAGGAAAGTGCAATACAATATATATCTCCATTTTTCTATGGGTGGGCTACAAAATAATTATACAAAAGGCAATTTATGCACATATGCTAATTATTTGAGGTTAACATTAGAGCTTTTGGCAAAGCATGGAAAGGAAAATTATGGCTCAGCGAACAAGCAAAGAATCCTGCTAATTCAAGTTCCAAATATAGAAGGAAACAAAAATATAAAAATAAAAACGTCATGAAACATTTTTATTAATAGGGATGATTTTCCCGCCCTTCTTCTTCGTTCGTGTAATATAATAAATGTGTATCACCATTTACTCATTGGAGTTATGATGAAATGTAATGAAATAATTGGAGTCAAAGTCCTCTGGAGGGATTCATGGCTTTTCCATAAAACAATAATTTGAGCTCATGCTTCTAATAAATAAATAAATATATATATATATATATATATATATATTGAAAAGCCCAAGGGCTGATTTTATTAAAATTGTGAAGATACACGAAGGTTGTATGAGAGGGCCCAATAGAGGCACCCTACCCATATGATACCAAGTATAGTAATATCTCAACTAAAAGATACAGATAAAACTCAAAAAATTAAAATTTGCAGAAAACAAGTAGCTAAGGACGAGCCAGTTTAGTCATATCTCTTCCTCTAGTTTTAGGAGTGGAGCCAAATAATAAACTTTGAAGTGCGTGTCATTGCCCAGAGTAACCAAAGTATCATCCATTAAGTTTTCAAGTTGGAGTGTGCCCACAGCCTTTTTCTTTTATCGAGAAGTGTAAACCTGTCATTCTTCATGAGAAGATTGGCTTATGTGATCATCGGTCTGATTAAATATTAGAACCGCAGTAGAAGGAAAGACAGTTGTTGCTACAGCGATAGGTTCCAGTGTATGTGAAGTGTGAATTGTCACCTCTAGTCTTAGGAGCAGAAACAGATAACAAACTTTGAAGAATCGTGTCATTGTCAGAAGTCACCAAAGTGCCATCCATTAAAATTTCAAGTTGGAGTGTGCTCCCAGTCCTCTTCTTCCGCCGAGAAGTGTAAACCTGACAATCTTCATCTGAAGACTGACTCATGTGATCCTCTTTTTGATTTGATGAACGGCAGTAGAAGGAAAGACAATCGTTGCCACCTCGATAGGTTCCAATGTATGTGAAGTGTGAATTGTTACCTCTGCATCTGATATTTTCTGAATAGGAGCTGCGAAACTATCCTGATTTTCATTTCGAACATTATCCATTGTAGTACGGTTAGGAGAAGGGATGTCAGGGGCAGATACCAACTCGTGTCTTGTGGTAATTCCCTCCTCAGGTTGGCTGTCATCAGGTTTGTTGTGAACGTGTACAGGCACATGAGGTGCATTAATAGTGTGTTCCTGCTTTTGACTATTAGTTCTCAACTGTGGGTGCAATCTGAAACATTTCTCCTACGGGTGTCCAAACATCTTGCAGTGCTTGCAGTAGTATGATTTTTGTTCCATAATAATTTTTTGCCAATAACTATTGAGAGCAGATCCAAGTCAAACTTCTTTTATATCTGGTAATGTTTATCTCATTCAATCAAAATCCTTGCAATAGAGGGCCTTGAAAAATGAACTGTAGGTAAGTCTACCTGCAATAGTTTTTCAAAGATAGTCTCAATTGCATATAAGATAGGTAGGTCAAAGAAATGAAGTTTGAGTTTAGGTAATGAGAACCAGATAGGTACAATTGGGTGTTCTTGACTGGGATTAAAATCGGGGGTCCATTTGAGCAATTTCATATGTTTACCCTCAATTGTGATAAATATCTTTGAGAAAATCCTTGTGTAATCATCTTCTGTACTCAGTTGTATCATAGCATGTCTTCCGTCGAAATGACCCACCTGTCATTCCCCAACCAGTTTGAAATCTTCAAAAAACTTCCTGATGATCTTCATCTTAGGGCAATCTAATTGGAACTTTCCAACTAGTGTAAATTTGTATTTTCCTGCACGAATTGAAATTTCAGCGTCAAAAAAAAAAATTGTTGGTTTGCCCGCCTTTTTCTCTACTTTTTTGATGAGGTTGCAATCGTCATTTCCTATAACAGAATCATGGTAAATCTGTTGAAATACCGCATTATCTGCGAGGTGAAAAGGGGAGTTGCGTTTGTGAATCACTATAGCATAGAAGGGTTTAAAAGGTTATCACCGGCGAGGGCGGAAGGGTAGGAAAGCCCTGAGGCGATTACCGCAGCCAGTGCCAACCTGCAGCACAGTGAGAAGCTACACGAGGGTCGAAAGGCTCTGTCGC